CTTAATCTTTGAAATAGATACACCAAGCAAAGCAGAACAAAACAAAGGAAAAATATACCCTAAACTATAATCAATAAATAAATAGATAAATAAATAAATAAATAAAGCCCAAAACTTTTATATGGGGGGTGGGAGTACTTGGGGTTTGGTTTTTTTGCTTTGTCTGTACAAATGGGTTTAGAGACAGAACAGTAACTTACTATACTTAGACCACAGACCTGTAACAACACAGAAGTAGCATAAAGATGAGTCCACTTTGCTAACAAGAAGGCAAACCCATTGACAATTCCTTTGCAGTAACACTCAGCCAATGCATTGGTCTGTTTCAAGACCTTCTACAAGACTATAACTATAGGACTGAACACCACTGGAGCATATACCTCTTCTCAACTTTAAAAGCATCGAGATATTATGTAATTGTATCACATTCCAGCTTTGTAACAGTCACTTGCTGTGATTATTAGCACCCTATAAAACTGTCCAAGGTAGGACCATGATTCAGCTATATATTATCTTTTTATTTTGAGCAAAACCACAGAAAAAAGATTTTGCTGTCAATCAGAACCTAAAATAAAATAAATCTTAATAATAAAGCAATCATGATGGCCTGTTGAAATACTGCACAGGAATAAGATATCATTATCTACTATTATTTTGCATAGATGAGGACAAGGGAGAAAGAGTGTTCTAAAGTAGTAACCTTATTAAAGAATAATTGTTACACTCTATACCCCTCTCTTTACAGCATTTCTGGGTGTGCCAGTTTCAGCCCTACTGTGTCTAACACACACTAGAGGCATATGGTATTAGGTGTAGCATGCTTCACTGCATATTTTGTTGATTACAGCTTGAAATGTACAAAAGGCCTTCTTTTTCCTTGGTAAACTAATTCAGCAGCATTCCTCTGTTCAGAACTAAAAATACTTGCTAATTAGTACCATAATAATGCTGGATTATCATAACGGTTTTATTAGGAGTATGAATCTTACACACCAAAAAGATTAAGCCCTTGTTGAGCTTGTGGTTCAACAAGAGCTGTAGAAAAAACACACCATTTGGATTTTTGGCTGTTGTTGTACCTGGCCAATATAAGCTCATTTTTTTGAAAAGTAAACTTTATACAGCAAATATGTTCACGGACAGAACTATGGCTCAAGAATGATACCAACTCTTAATTTTTTTTCATCCTGTTAGGACTCCAAGGGTGCAGTAAGTTTGAACACTTCTGGGACACCCTGCGCTTATTACACATGATGAAACCCAAAAGGACAGACAACGCAAGTAAGTTGAAGTATACAAATATGAGAGATGTACCTAGATGTATTGTAGTCCCTGCAAGCACAGTCACCAATTGTTAGAGCCCAAATTTCAGAGACTCCCTGCCCACCCTCCTCATCCTTAAAAGTTAAGATAGCTTCATATTCCCCCTAGATTCAAGTTTTATATAGAAGGAGAAATATCCAAAGAAAACTAGATATAGTGAAATCCAGGTCATGACTGCATAGTTATTTCACTTCACGTGACAGCATTTCTGTTGCAACTTAATACATGAAAACACCACAGCAGGAAGGTACTTTTTTTGGTTTTACCTCCTTTAAAGTAGATGCCCACAATAAAAATTTGCAGCATGTGACCTACCAGATCCTCATATTAACAGCGTTCAGCGATCTGTTCCATTATAATGTAAATTAATTTTAAAAAATTAAATTTAAAAACATTAAGATTAATACTGAATGACTGATGCAAAAGTACATGAAAGAGCATTCAACCATGGTGGCAAAAGAAAATGGGCTTGCCGTACAGAAATCTTAGAAAAGGCTTGAAGAGGGAGGGAACTGAATCATGCACTGTAAATGGGTTGTTGCTACAGTACTAGAGAAGAGGATAAAAACATTAATACTGCTTTACTGCAAGAGAAACAGCTAGAGTGCAGAATGCAGGGATACATGCCAAGTAAGAAAGAACAGGGATGGAGGTAGGCAGAAGACAGAGACAAGTCTTGAAGAGGGACTCACAGACGGGTGGGGATTTACACAAGCAGAGCAGCAGGCAAGCAAGATAATCTCTACTGCTGCATGTCAAGTGGATGTAAGAACACCATAGTGAAACAGGAGAGAATGAATAGGAAAAGGTTCCAATCATCAAGGCAAGAACTTAAGCCCTCAAAAGAGAAAGCAATGACTTTGGAGAGGAAAATTAAGAGGATGATATGTTGGAAATAAGTTCTTGTTTTCGACCATAAGGCAAAAAAGATAGTCAGGGATGGAAGTAGACACAAATAAGCCTAGGATGAAGCCAGATTTAAAAAAAAATAAGCAAAACCTTTCCCTGGTACAACACACAAGTGTCTGCTTAGCAACAAAGGGTGCTGTGCTCGCAGAGACTGCAGCCAAAACCTCTGTCCGGTTTTATGAAGCCTGTGTAAAACAGCCTATTCCCCCCTTCCACTCATGCTACTATAATCTACGAAACAATGACATTTCACTTGAAACTAGAAGACCACAATTTCACTAGATACTAGATGACCCAACTCTCTACCACAAGGAATATGATAGGTAGTAGATTTCTTCTCTGTATGAATTAAAACAAAAACTTTTCAGCTTAAACAAAGCTCAATCTCAGTTTCTCTTCACAACTAGTATACACACAATGCACAACTTATACCCAAACATCAACAAGTTCACCCATTTAAGCACACTGTACCTTCTGGAAGTTTGAACACAAATACTCAATTTTTAGCTATTAGAGAAGTCACGTAGATACAACAGAGATGAAAAGACAATAAGCAAATGAACACAAAGAAGAAAAATCATTTAATAAAACTGAGATGTTTCATTTCAACTAGGTCTGAATGGAGGAAGTGGTGGGATGTAAAAGCAATGGTTTCAATCTGTCAGTGTCAGCTGAGGTCAGTAGGACTAAGTTTACAGTAAGATCACATATCAGATACTGCCCTTTTTTTTTAGGTCAAAATCCAGCATTCTGATGTCATATCTGATCCTTACCGCAAAAAGTTATGTTAGCCAACCACAAAATAACCACCTATGAAATTCAGAAAGGCAGTCTGAGATATTTCCATAATAGCACCCAAGGCTAAATAAATACTGTAGAGTAGGCCCTGTATCACAAAGGCAAGGTAGAGTTTGGAACAGTCAGAATCTAGAGGGACATGAAGCACAGTCATATAATGCTTGATCATCCCTGTGTGCTTCCATAATTATTTCATCTCTATGTATACACATACATATATATGCTATATATAAACATATCCATCCATCCAAAATAATGTACTTATAAAAATACCTGAGAGACAGAAATATAACACTTGAACACCCCCTGAATGCTTTCATAAGGACTTCATCTTTACATATGTATCTATTTATGCACAGACACTATATAATACACATACACAAAAATCTATGTATAAAAATATCAAAATTCTATACTTCCAAAATTACTAAGTAGTCACAGATAAATAGCTAAACCACCACACTTTCACAAATTCTAAATTAAGTCTGGGCTCTGTTACATGTTGGCCCCTGATATTTGTGGGCCCTACTGTAAATGCACTTCCATGACTGGGGTCCAGGCTGTTTGTACTATATTCCCTTTTTTATAATTTTATTAAAAAACCCCTAAGCTGTTGCCCCAACTCTAAAATAAAGCAGCACTTAACTAGCATACGAATATGAAAAAATTGGCCTTTCATAGTAATGAACAATTCAGACATACACCCTAGCTACATAAATATACAATGATGTTGATTTCAAGCATGCAGCTCCACCTTGAATTTGCAGAATACTCATCATTCCTTTTGAGAATATCCAACATACACTGATTTTTTTAATTTAAGCCAATTCTTTCTATAAATGGACTTGAATAACGTGCTTTTACCCCAGAAGCTACATGGAAAGTCACTGAAACACTAATATCTAAATGCATAGTTTTACCTTCCACTAGCCCATAGTCACATTACCATTTAAAGCTCTGCCATATGTTTACAAAGATAGTATGTGAGCTTCCACGAAGAACTCATTTATTCCATGAAAAGTATGCTTATCAATGCCTTTCAGAGTCAGTATGAAAGGTTTCATAATCTAAAAGGAAATGTATGCAATAAAAATTTCAGATATTTAGTGTTAACATGACAGCATAGAGACCCCCCTCTCTACTCTATCATGACTTCAGGACACAGATATCTTCTCTTATCCATATATAGTGTCCTACTTGGGAAGTTTCATTCCTAGTAGATTAACTAGAAGTGAGAGACAATCTGAGATATCACAGAACCAGAAAATAACATCCTTTTCATGCCATCAGTGGTTATTTCTTTATAGGTAAACTACTGCAGCAATAAAGGTAGATTCATCCAATCATTGTCCCTGATCACAGTGATAGCTATTTCTAGGAAAGAGACTGATGGGCCTGAGCTAATCAGACATATAAAGGAGAAAGCAGTCTTCATTTTTCACCACAGTTCATGCAACCCTTTAATCACATTGCCAAAACAATGTCATCTCAAAAAATGCATTTACCAGAACAGCTCGTCTATGAGAGTGTGAAAGATCGAATTTGTCACTGAAAATGAGACATAAAATCAGACTGAAAGGGGAGCTGCGGCGAGAGAAAGCAGTGTGTGCAGTGACAGGGTCCCAGCCTCACAGCAAACATGCACATTTCATCCGAGCCTGCAGAAATTAAACGCGCTTTGCTTCAGCACCATGAGCCTCTGGGTGCCCGTGAGCACTCGGTCCCTCCACGGGGCACACCCGGCGAGCGGCGACGGCGCGGAGAAACCCCGGGGTCAGACGCTCGTTCCCCGCACCCCATCCACCCCCCGCCCCGTGCCCCGGCTCACCGTGTGGGAGGCGTTGCTGGCCCTGAGCGGCGGCAATGCGAGGGGCGATGGCGGGCCGGTCCCAGCTCCTGCCCGGGAGACCCCGGCTCCAGTGCCTGGGGAAGACTGCAGCGGGCGGCCGCTGTCCCCTGCCCTGCCTGCGGAGAGCAGAGGGGTGAGCGCGGAGGGCAGCGGCGGCCCCTCGGGCCTCGTCGGGGAGGCGGCGGCCCCGGCGCTAGGCCGGCACCGCCGCCCGTCTTGCTTTGGGCAGAAGCCATTAAAAGCTAATCACCGCCGCGGCGCACACACGCACCGATCCGGCTAATAGCGCGGGCGGGCCATGCTCGCCCGGCTAAACCCTTCATCCGAGATTAACCCGCCACCAGCAGGCGCCTAATCGGGAGAACGAGCCGGCTCTGCTCCGCGCACGCCTCGAGGCTGGACGGCTGCCCGTCCCCCCCCGAGCCGTCTGGCCCGGCGAAATCCCGGCGCCGCCGGGGACCCGCCGGGAGTTCACAAGTCTGGAGCGCGAAGCAGAGGCGAACACCGTTGCCCCTTGTCAAATGCGGCCGCTCCGGCACTCGCGGCGACCCCCCGTTCTCCCTGGGTCGTTTCCCCAAGTGTTTTCTCTCGGCCCCTCACCACTTGCTCCCCCGAGACAAACTCGCCACCCTGCACGACAGAAGCTCGCCGGAGCCCAACGCGCAGCCCCCGATAGCCCCCCCGGGCTCGGCTGCCGCGGTGGGGGTGGGTGGATCATTGTTCAGCACACACGGCACCGCTGCGGCGCCAGCCCCCCGTCCTCCGTCCCCCTCCGCCGGGCCTCTGCAGCCCGGCCCAGCGGTGGCTATCGCGGCGGCCCACTCGCTCCTTACCAGCTGGGTAGGCAGCACCAGCGGCGGCGCTAGCTGAGGGTTTTCTGGTTAACATGGCCGCTGGAGAGGAGGGAGAGCAAAAGGCATGTCAGGGTGGCTCTTCTCCGCTGCTCCTCGGCCTCTCCGGGCGGTGTCTGCCTCTCTTCTCCGATCAGCTACACCCAGGCCCAGACACGTCCTGCGCTGCATCCCCCCGGCTCCGGGCCCGCCGGACAGACCCTCCAACGGCCCGCCGTCGCCTCCCGCCGCAGCCGCAGCAGCAGCAGCCGGGCCGCCGCCGCAGCCCCCGGCCCAAGCTCATCACCTCCCCCGCCCCCGCCCCGATCGCCCCGGTCCCCTCGCACGGAGGAGGGAGCAGCAGCAGGCGGCCGGACGGAACCCTCCTCGTCGCGCGGCGGAGCGGGGACAAACAGCGCACAGCAGCAGCAGTCCCCGCCCCGCCGCCCGCGTCCCCTCCCTCCGTCCCTCCCTGCCGCTCCCTCGCGTTCCCTACCGCTCCGCCGCCGCGGAGGCGGCGCGGCCCGCGGCTACCCCCGGACCCGCACGTGCCCCCGCCCGCACAACGGCCGCGCCGGCCGCGCGTCCCCGCGCCCGCACAACGGCCGCCGCGCTGGGCCCGGGAGCGCGCCCGGCCGTTGGTCACCCCGGCGGCACTGCCATGTCTGTGCCGGGCAGGGACAGGCACAGGGACAGAGACAGGCACAGAGACAGGCACAGGGACAGGCACAGGCACGCGTGCAGGCACAGGCCGCCCCGACAGCCCCCGCCCCGACAGCGCCCGTGGGTGCCACGGGCAAGGGGGAGATGCCGGTGGGAAAGTCGGCGTGTGTGGGAGTCGTGGGGAGGGAGAGGAGCCGGGGGATCGCCGGCTCCTCAGGCAGCGGGGTTCGCTCTGCCAGACTGGAAGGACAAAGGTGGCCCCGTAGGAGGAATATTAAATAACTTGAAATGTGTAGAGGGATGAAAACTTAAAAAAAATGGTAGTGAGATAAAAGAAGCTTTTGGGATTGCCCTGGAGGCGTAAGTGCCTCAGCCTAGAACGAGGGAAAGGAGAGTGCGAGGGGCGGTACTGGCCTTGTTTTCCAAACTGAACGACGTGCTTAGTGGAGTACAATGCTTTGAATTCCTGGTTTGTCAGTTTGCACGTCACTGCAGCCAAAAATAGATGACTAAACATTTGCTCTGCTTGGGACAGCATTGAAATGAACTGTCCTACCTATGCTCAACTCTTTTTGAAGTCCATACAGACCTTGCAGGTTTTCCTTTTTGAAACAGCTCGTAGATGTGTAGACAGACCTCCCTTCATCCCCTTCCAGAGAAGAGACAAAAAAATGAATCTCCCCTTTTCCTATGCCTAAACAAAAAAAAAAAATTCTGCTTCTTTGCCTCTTCCCATGCCACAGATACATGCCTAAGCAAAGACATTTCCTGTACTGGTACAAAGAAATAAACAATTTCCCTAACCCTCCTGTCATGCAGAGAAAACAATCATACTTTCTCCCATCCACACCCACCTAATCTTTTCCTTCACTGTAGCTGAAAAAAGCTTTGTCTTCCTCAATATCCCCGTAGATGTCCACAGGCCCTCCCAATGTCCCTTCCCATTGGCTGCCAGGTGTATAAATGGTGTTTTCTGATTACTTTCTGTATTTTCTCATCGTTTTCAGAAGCTGCGCATGCACATCAAAGGTATTGGAATATCAAACACTGCAATAACATTAGTGTTCTCAAATATCTTAAACGTTTCAGGAATGGAAAAAAAAATACTTTTCTAGTTAGTCTAAAGAGAGGAAGGGCTTGTTCACCTTCAAGCTGGATAAGAAAAACCAGAATTGATATCAATTATCTTTCCATAGGGCTTGCAGGAGTTCTTCATCTTAAATGACGTGCCCTTTCTGAGTGTCGATGTCACAGACGGTTTCATGCATGTTCTGGGGTTAGTTACACCTTAACATTGAGATAAGACAAAGCCCACTAAGTGTCCTGTTTCAACTCCTTTCCAGTCAGGTACACTATCCACAGTATGCCTTCCACAGTTTATTCAACACTCTTGGACTGCTATGCATACTATGTAAAAAATTGAGCTAGTCTATCACGTAGTAAACAGTATTTTAACTCAGTGGGAACACATTACATTGGTACCTGTCCTCTTTCTAAAACTGTGTGCACTGTAAGCATTCATCTTGAAGCCTGCGAGTGTCCTTGGGCCTGTTTGGATGCCTCTCTTTCTCTCTCTCCGTCACTTTCTCCATCTGCAACCCATCCTGGCATCTGCTGTCAAAGATAGTACCTGATGGAGTCTGAAGTGGAACTTGAGATAAGGGCAAGCCCATCTTGATTCCTTCTGAATGCAATGCAAGCAACTTCAGTTTAAAAGCCTCTTTCATGCAGGATTTAGGTTGATAAAGAGGAGGAACGTGCTAATATAATTGTAAAATACCTTGGCTGCAAATAGCAATGCCTTTAACAGCCTCTTCAAAATCTTAGAGGCAAATATATAAAGAAAAGAAGAAAGCAAAGCCTAAATACTCAAAGACAAAGGAAAGGTTAATTCTTTCACGCCAAGTCTTACCCTCAGGAATCTGAAGTATGTCCTGTTGAATGGCCACAAAACTTTTTTTTTTCTAATACTGGCCATACTGAACATATCAGCACTTTCCAGACCAGGATGAGATCAACAGACTTCAGTTCCCAGGACAGAAATAAGTATTAAGCATCTGACAGGAGAAAGTGTATGGTTCTCAGAAATTAGAGAGCAAAATGAATTAGGGTTTTATTGATCCTTTTTCCTGCTCACGCAGCTTTTATTACCCAAAGGTGTGAACTAACCTGTAATGATAGAAGATTAGTCTTCCCTTTCTTGCAAACAAATCCACTGAGTGTTCATGAGTGACAGATTACTTAGAATCATAAAATAGTTTAGGTTGGAAGGGACTTTTAAAGACCTTCTGGTCCAACCCCCTGCAATGACCAGGGACAGTTTCAGGTTTCATCTCAGAGCCCTGTTCTGCCTGATCTTGAATGTTTCCAGGGAAGAGGCATCTACGACCTCTCTGATGGCACCACCTATGGCAAAGACCTCTTACTCATATCTAGTCTAAATCTACCCCCTTTTAGTTTAAAAACAGTATCTCTTGTCTTATCGCAACAGGTCCTACCAAAAAAGTTTGTCCCCAGCTTTCTTATAAGCCTCCCTTAAGTATCAAAAAACCACAATAAGGTTTCCCTGGAGCCTTTTCTTCTCCAGGCTGAACACCACCAGTTCTCTCAGCCTATCTTCACAGGGCAGGTACTCCATTCCTCTCATCATTTTTGTGGCCTTCCTCTGGACCCACTCCAACAGGTCGAACAGGTACTTGCAAGGGGCTTGTAAGATAATGTCATCAAAGCACTTGTTTTTAGGAGAAATACCTGAAAACTTTTCTGTCCATATGGGTACCCAAAGCGGCCTACAGACTGAAAAGTGCCAGCTCAGTGGGGCACAGGCAGTACTGGTTCTGTACCACAGTGAACACCTAAGGAAGAAGGTGAAGAGGCAGCAGTTGGAAGTGCTGATGGAATCAGAAGGCTGTTTGCCACAGCTGTCTTGAAGAGGCTTAGGTTGGTCTGTTACAGATATCATCCTTCCATGATAAACTGTACCAAGTGTTCTAGAAAAAAAATAGCAACTATTTGGTAAAAATGAAGTGGTGAAATCACAACTATTAAGTAAGAAAATTAAAATTCATCAAAAAAACCCCCAACAGAACCAGAACAGTCTAGAACAAAGCTTGTTATCTGTAAAACCTTGTCTAAAAGTATTCCTGCCCACATAGTACATTAAAATGCATTATTGAAGATAATATGTTAATGCAGACTGATACAGAGCATGCTGTGTTTCTTGAGCCATTCAGTCAGGGCCCTTGTGACCAAGACAGATTCTAAGCAGACTGTGAGGGGCTGCTGAGGTCTGTTTTTTCAGGCTGCCTTGGGGCCCAGTTCCTATCTAGTTACCCTGTTAGAACACTGTATCTCCTTAGCATCACTGTGAGATCTCCTATGCCTGTCCACTTACCTCTCTAAAGTGGGTGCTGGTTAGGGTTTAATTATACGGGTCTTTGGTATGTAGTTGTAGGGCAAGTGAGACTGGCTGGTCAGTCACACAGCATCTCCTCCACTGTAATATTAGCATATGCTTATGTGGTCAGACACCAGGGAATTCCTGAGAAGCCATGCATGTCCAAAGCTGCAATGATGACACTGTGGAGCTCCCAGAGTGACGGGTGCAGCTGTTGCTCAGCACCTTGTTATGCTCTGACTATTCTCATTAGACACAGCAAACTATTTCGGCTTTAGATAAATGACCTCTAGGTAAAGCAAATACAAGGCTCCTCGAACATCATGGACTTGGAGGACATGGCACTTAGGGACATGGTTTAGTGGTGGACTTGGTAGTGTTAGGTTAATTTTTAGGTTTGATGAACTTAAGGGTTCTTCCCAACCTAAAAATGATTCTATGATTCTATGAAAAGTAGAGATAAGACAAGCCTAGAACAAAGAACGAAAAATGTGGTTTTCTGCTATCTTTTAACTGTCCCCTCATACTAAGCAGAATCTTTACTCGTTCTCAACATCTTTTAAAATGTTCTAGGACCTAAGCTATTTAAAAATACATTATTTTTTCCCCATTGTTTTTGTGTAGCAAACCTTAGATGCTGAGGTAGAGACATTAAACCACTTAGAATATGTCTCACCATCAATTAAACATGGGTCCAAGTCTGTTGTCTCAGCCAGTAATATGCATTTTAAAAGTAAACCCTTAAGCCCACTAAGTGGTTGCCTCAGGATGGCCTGAACATAATCAGCACCAGGTTCTTATTAATTTGTTGTGGATAATTTAGGCATGAGCAGGACTGTGCACACTACAGTGTTGTCTTTCAGCAGTTCATGCTGAGAACAGTGTAGGCAGTTCAAAATACAGCAGCCTACAAATAATAGCATTGCAGATGGAAAGCGCACCAGTCAGGGCTCGACTAGGTCTCAAACATGCACTTCACTGTATGGCACATGTGTAAGGTTTGCGACTCCACCCTCTCTCTACCATTCCTGGAAACAAAAAATTCCCAGTGGAGCATCACCTGCAACTTAGAATAAAATTGTATTTCAATGCAATTATAAAAAATGAGGTTATGCATTCAGAGCAAGAGTGTAGAGAGTTACTGCCACAAGTCAGCTTGCTAGTACATATTCATACTGACATGAGGGTATATGAAGCTAAACTGGCTTGCCAAGTTCAAGTGTTTGTTGGCCTTCATTCCAGTGTATGTTCTGTTGAGGTTAAACTTTATTCTGTGTTCAAGGATTTAAGAACTGCTATTTAAGAACACATAATTCACAATTTCTCTTACCGTATTAAGACAAACTAAGGATGTTTTAGTGGTCGGTCAGTTCACCCTGAAGAGAATCTCTGAGATCCTGTAAGTCTACAAGCATACTAGTAATTTTTTATTCTGCTATTACGGCTATATTGTGGGAGACTATCTTGCAACATATTTGTATTTTAGTGCTGGCAAATTGCATATTAAGTAAAATGCTTTCCCCTTTCACCAGACTATGCCAATGTTTCTAAATTTATGTATTATATATTTCCTATCTAATTTCTGGATTATTATAGAATTAATATTCATTAGAACATTAGACTTATTCCTTTGTGTATACTCCCAGCATGTATAATGGGAGGAGAAATATTCCTGTTTTCCTGTCTCATACAGCAGAAGCAATCCTGATGGAATCCATGGAGTAGCATTAATATAAATTTAATCTCAGGGAAAAAGCCTAATGCTGGCTGATTCTTATTAGCTGATGGCACACCCTCCTTTATATACTCAAGAAAAAAGTGAACCTTTTGAACAAGAAAAGCAGGAAATGACTTATGTGTCCTTAGCCCTTCTTCTTCTGTGGACACTTTCCACCATGTTGTGAAGCTCCTCTGTTTCCGCAGCTACACAAACAAAGGAAGATGTGATAATTGCAGAGACATAAATTAAAACTACTGTGTCTCATGTCACTTGAATGTTAATCTTTCCTAAAAAGGTCCTAGAAAACAACTGCTACTGCAAGTTTAGTATGCAAATGATAGTTAGGATTTCTACCAAACTCTTTCAGAGAGAGACCACAAACTTGTTAAACCTTCTGTCATTTCTGAATTCGGTTTCCTGTTCTAACCACTTTGAAAATCAATATGTGGAAAGTCAGGGTAATCTTTCTTGCACTCATTGTGTGGGCTACTCAGTTTCAGAACCAGCTGTTCATGCATGGAGTTAAAACCCTGGTAACATTTGCTCATCCAATTCCACATGTGAAAAAAAAGAGACTTAACTTTAAAGGTTTTGTTGGAGTCAGCTACTCTCCACAGCAGTGTTTCATGGAAGCTGGGATTTAATTCTGTCAGGTGCTGAGAGGTTTTAGCTCCCCTGAGTCAGCGGGCCCAGTATCTCACAGTGTGTTCTGAAACTGAGAAATGACACACCTCACTGAATTGTGATAAGCTCATTAAAATCACTGCTCTACGAAAGCACAAAACTGAGACATAGTTGAAAGGTAATGGGTCAGAGGAACTCAGAATCCCGAAAGAACTCCGACCAAGTTCTTTTCCTCACCCAGGCTTTCTCTGGGCAGAATTTATTGATAATAAAAGGAAAATGAATCATTAAGTCCCACAGCCCGAGTGTTATATTATTAACTAATATAATATACTGTCAGGATTTACATGGGGACTTTTGAGTTAAACCATGAGCCACCTGCTGAAAAGCAAATTTAAGGCTATATGCTGGAAAAGAACTTTCTCATTAAAATATAATCAAGGTTTGTTAGGCAACAAGAAAAGAACCAACCTGATGTGCTGAATTAAACTGAGTGGGAACTAAAGATATCAGATAGCTGTGAAGAGTTCTTCAGCTCCCCATTTTACAGGGTGCAAGCCTTACATGGGTTTACCATGGGAAAAACAGACTACATCTCTTGAGTGCACAAAATAAGAAGAGCACCTGACCATGTTTTCTAAGGATAGTAGGTGCAACATACACAGTACTTTTTCTTCTGTCATGACCCTCCTTACCCTTCTCCGTTTGTTTCTGTGAAAAGGATTTTAAGTGAGCATGGTCTGACTGCTAGTTGAGTAACAAGAAGGGATGTGCAGGCATGTATTTATAGCGGGGAGGGAAAGTTAAGAGTCATCTTCTTGATGCCCCGTTCAATAACTAACTTGCTACTGGTCCTTTTGTGTGGAAGTACCCTAAGCTGCCCAGCCTCTCATTTACACTGCTGTGTGAATGCTTGGTGGATGTGTCTATTCAGGTGTGAAGAGTGGAAGAAGAAAAATAGAAAATACATGATGTGAAAATGAAACAGAGGCTTTAATTTACTATCATCATTTGTAATCTCCTTCCAAAGGAATAAATGTGCACATTAACACACAAATAGTTCACAATAGATTCAGAAAATTGAAACTTAAAATACTGTTTAATTTGGAAAATTAAATAAATAAAGGAAAATTCCTGCAGATGTTCTACAAATAGAGAAAAAGAGAAAGTAGGCCCAAGGGATATTTCAGTATGTTTGCTACTTTATTAGTAAAATTAATACTAGTGGTTTCAAAAAGACCACTCACACACAATTCCTCTTTTAATTAGAATCTGGGCTTTAAATTATACAACAAATCTTTTGCTTAGCTGAAATTTTAATTTTAATTTGCAGAAGGGCAGGGATTGCTACCTACAGGTAACTCCCTATAAACAGATTTAGTTGTGTGTGAAATGGGTAACATTAAACATGTGGGACTAGGCTTAATAAGTGCCTAGTCCATAAAAGGAAATCATATGTGGCAGAAAATATAGGCGCCAATGCCCATTCCAGTGCTTGGAAAAGTGTGCTGTGAAATGGTGTCAAAGCAGATAGACAGAAACCGCAGGTGACACAAATACCCCAGATATTTCTCCTTGCACGAGCTGGCCAGTTCAAGAACATCTTCTGAAGATGCCATCTGTATATTCTTTAGAGAAAAAGAGTCACTGTCGTCACAGAGTCCCCTTCTGTACAATAAACTAATGGCAAAAGCACTTATTTGGCAAAGTTCAGTACATTGGACCTTAAGTCTCTGAAGGTGTGTAACAAACTACAGGCTGCTGAATGTGGAAACAGGAGTTTATGATTCACTGGGTCAAAGAGACGAAGTGTTACAGAAGAGAAGTGCTAAAGAAGAAGAAGACTATTGCTGTGAGGTTAGACTTTAAAAGTGTTTTTCAAATGTTACAGAAAGCACAGTAATATTCTGTCTCCCCAGTCATGCAATATGCAAAGATTTTGTGAGCATTTTGAGTTCAGGTGAGCATTTTCAAAAAGGGTTTATCTTCAGTTTATAAAGGCTAATGATCTATTTCCGTAAACAGAAAATCCACTGAAAAATGGGCAGTAAAAACACAAGAGGCAAGAAAGGACGAAAGTACAGGGTAGGAAAGATAACATGAGAAAGATTAAGGAAAGCCGTGTAGAAAGACAAAAGAGGATGAAGCAAAGAAGCAAAATACAATCATCTTTTATTTTCTGACATTAGCTTCCTGGTAGAGTGACCTTTGCCTTTTTCCATCTCTCCATTCAGTACTGTTTTCACTTTTTTGTTTTAAGTCAACTTTTTGTCTCCTACTTCTTCTTGTCTTGTTTTGCTCTCCTAACATTGTCCTTCAGTCAGTAGGAGGCTACAGATGGACCATGTCTGTCTATCTCCCAATATGTTATGCCATTACAGGGCTATTTCCTTCCAGGAATCAGAGTGGGTGATGATTGGAATCCTACTGTCTGCAGGGCATCAGCCAGGGAAAAGGAGAGCTGGAAGTGTGAAAGAATGACTGGACAGGATCAGTGGGCTTAAGAGTGCTGAGCAAAGTTTAAGGGGATTTTCCCTAATGCAAATAACTCACTGCTTGTTCAGTTTCTTTCCCGAGGGCTCTGTGCTAGTCCTACCCCTTCAGCTGAAGAATTTGTGTCTTGGGCACTTTCCCATGAATGTTGCTGCAGTGCAAGTAGGCACAGGGGAATGGGAACCCAGTGGTGACAGCCTCTTGGGGAGGGAATTGGGGCCCTGAAAGGTAAACTTAAAAAATTTAAATTTTCTATGGAAGTGACTTGCTAAAAGCTCATTAGTTTCACGTCAATCAATTTTTGCTAAATCAATGTTTTATTTTATCCTATTGCACATTTGTTTCTAGGTCCTTCCTTCCCTCACACCAAACTGGATAGATTTATCCAGTCTGCAATTGAAGGTGTAAGTTCTTACCGTATGCTGAAGTCCTCTGTTTCCATTGCTGTGCTTTTGGTTGGCATGGAGGGCTATAAAATGAATGTTATCCTGACAGCCAGGTGTTCATGGTAGCAATGACATCTTCCCAATTAGCTTTCTGGATAAGATTTTCACCTTGCACTTCAATTGCTCAGTAAAGCACGCCAAGCTTCTTGTCACTGTGAGATAACCTGGATACTGTGAAGGACTCCACATTCCTGAGAGACCCTTATTGCAAGTTGACAACAATTCAGATTTTCCAACTCTAATGGCACCTCAAAATGGCATGGTCAAAGGGATGAATTCCTTAATTACTGGGTAGATAAAAATTCATTAAGGCAGCAAAAAGATATCTTCTCCTGGAAGTTGTAATGGGTTGCCAGACTGGCAACTGTACATAAATTACAGTTTCAAGAATATGTACTGTCATCTATTTCTGAAAGGTAACACAAGCCATGTGTGATGTGACGTTACAACATAGGTCTAAGACATTTTCAGTGCCTGGAGAGTGCCACTGAACAGAGAGGTGATATATATACTGCCAAAATGAAAGTGAAAACATTTTTTTCATAGCAAGTACTTCTCTCTGGCTTTTAATGAACTAATTCAGTATAAATATGTGCCACTAACTTTTGTTTTCATTTTTTGTTTTTTGTTTTAGATAATTAAGTTTCTCTTGGCAAAGTGCCAGAACCACAGGAAGCAAACCAGAGGACCAGAGGCACAGAAACTGATAAGAATGAACCACACTTTTCACAAGGATAGCTGATTATTTTTATAATTTATTTCTTAAAATAATTTTCCTCTTTTGGATTTTAGACAAAGTTGTAGTTGCTGCCTCCAAGACTTAAAGTAGAAATTCCACACTGCTCCACAGCTTTTTCCGAATCCTGTAAGAATGCAAAATTGGTGCATTTCCTAGAGTTTACCCATGGTATTCATTTCAGAAGAGCTTTCTCTTTTTAGGCTGAAATCTGGAATGCAAAGAAGTATGCACATTGTTTCATATATATACACATTTATTTTTTCATATGGAAAGATAAATAATCAGAACATGTTGATCCCTTGAGAAGATAAGGTTTTTGAGTAAATATTCAACTGTCATAGCATTAGATGTGCTGAAACAACATCAGTTGAATATAGCAGACCACCCATGCTCACTTCTAGGGAGTTAATAGCAGTGGATAGGAACTTGTTTGATAAGAAGGCTATTCATAGAGGCCATCAACATCAGGCAGGACATCTGACTGCTTCATGGTCTGTACAGAGAAAGCCATAAATGTTTAGAAGTTTTCCTATGCAAATATTACAGAGAGCAGAAACTTCCTCAATTTATTTTCACCTATCTTGAAAATTTAAACCCTTTCTTTACCGCTGTGGAGCAAAATCCTCCATGATCTACATGAGCAGATAACCAAGGATCAACAAAATATCTCAGCCGTGAAACATGACAATCTTTGAATGCATCCCCAGGAAATATTTGCTTAGGGAAAAAACCCAACAGTTAACCTCAAGCAAGCAAATCTCTCACAAGGAGTCATTTTCATTTCCCATGTTCCCCAAGCACTGTGATATGAAGTCTTTGAAATGACAGTAGCTGCAGAAGGCAGGGGCTCAGGAAGAGAACATGTCCCAGGGATATGCTGTGGCTCCAGCAGCTGTGAGGGAAGCATCAGCTTAGAAAACAGCACCCAACACAGCACCTCTGCCACAAGCATCAAATGGAAGAAGGCAAAGCTAATTCCCAAAAAGCCAGCCATCTACAATCAATGCACTTACCAGCAACTTGTGTAAGAATGTCTATCAGTTGCATAAACACTGTTCACACAACTCAATGACTAAAACGGAATTGCTTTGGCCACTCATCTAAAAAAATAAAGCATCCTGACATCAGATGCCTCACTGAACTCTGGACATCACATGTCTTTTCTCAAATATTGCCATTTCTTCTGAGTGTTGTATATTTTATCCAGAAAATAACAGTGAGGTCCAGTTTTCTTTAAGATCAGATGTAGAATATGACAACTTCTGCTTTTGAAAGTAGATTTCTGTAGACACCTCTGGGCCTTGCTCTAAATATAAATCACCCATGCAGTATGCTTGTCAGCTTAGGCCAGACATGTCATACGAGGATTGGTTGGGTTTTGGATTTTTTTCTTTTTTTTTCACCTAGATATAAGCAAACCTCAATGTAGAAACTTGAAAAACAACCAGACTACTGTCATCTTTAATTAAGAGAAAGAAACAGAAGCACTCCGCTTAAGCCCTTCTTTCCCATATGGCTCATAATTTGTCAAGACTGCCATTTTCTTCTCCTGAAGTGATTTAGAAGGCAATTTCTATTTTGATACAGGTCCTGAAGAACATCATGATGTTGCTTTTTTCATAGCAGAAGAAGAATTTGGTATGAGACTGACTTATAAGTACCAGACATTATGGTAAACATGGAATTCTCCATGCCCTGAATGGGAATGCTCAGTACCAGCACAGTTCTGGTAGAGCTTTAAACAAATGTGCTCTTCATCCAGCTCTGATTAGGAAACACAACTTTGCTGTGCTGTTCCCAGTGATATTGGACAAGATCAACAGAACTACATTTCTACACTCTACATCTTTAAAATCTGTGTCAAAGCAGTGATTTGATATCCACTTCTTAATCATTAGTTCACAGTGTGCGTAGTTGGTGCTTGTAAAAAATTTAGCTTTGTATCTTTAAGGGTTGCATGTTTCCTTTGAGACTGACACTAATTTCAGCAGAGCCCTGGGCAAGAATAACATGAGTGCTGCAAGCCTCCATGCGGCTCTCTCCTCAGTAATGCTGTGGAGAGAGCATCTTTGCACACCCATGACAAGCCCTAATCTTTCCTTCTCAGCTGTCTGTGATTTTGCCCCCCCCCCAGGCTATGATTGCACCATCTTTTCATTTTTGAGGTTTTGCAGACTTTGACACTGTTACAGACAGTGCTGGAAGCCAGGAGCAGGGGAGGGATGTGATAAGGAAGAAGGATGTACTGAGATTGAGAGGGAAACTAGGGAATTCAGTATTTGCTGTGGCCTGCCAGTATCAAGTCAGTGTACAGTGTGGATAGAGAGGTGTGGACTGAAGAGATAGGTGGACATGCTTGCGAAGCAGAGCTCTGGGAAGATGGGTCTCTCTGCGGGTAAATAGACTGAATACTAGAGCTAAGGTTTCCTATTCCGTTCAGTAATACCAAGGAATCTTTCTCAGTTCCTGCAGACTTTTTCACAACACAGAGTGTACCCTTTTCATATGCAATATGAAAGAATCTGGCAGGCACAAACAACTTCTTCAGAAAGAAATTTTTACATTGTGGTAGAACAGATTGATACACTAAACACTACAAGCTGTGAGAATGGGTCAGTGAGACTCATTCTTACTTTTGGCATGAAGGAAACAAACTTTTTGAATCTCCAGGAATCTCCAGTCACACATGAGTGACACCAAAAAGTTGACAGCTCTATTTGGTAATTTATCCTCCTGTAGGTTTTGTCTTTCTAGACCATCTGTCAAAAAGATACAAAACCCACAAGATGTTGAAGTGGGAGCAGTTATAGCTGTAGACAAGAGTAAGTCAAGACTGTGCTACCTGATGACTTTGATCTCCTTTCTGTTACCTGTTTCTTCACCTTGCAAACTTTCCTAATCAATGCTCTTTTATCAGAGTCTCGTCCTTGTTCTGTATTTGAAATTCAGTTGAGATATCCTTAGTGTAACCAATCTATCAGCTAGCTTCTAGATATTAAACAAATCTATCAGATCTAGATCAACCATTCTATTTTCATCCCACAGGTCTTTTTCTTGTTAGACAGCTTCTGAATCTAGACTGCCTCTTCAAAGTTCACCTTGCACAACAGCATCTGAATGGCAAGCAAAAGAAAAGGATATAAGAAAATGCAGCTATTGTCAGAAATGGAGACAACTGCAAAAGTGGGTCATGAGAGTATTCTACAGCAGAAGCTCTAAATCTGTGAAGCTGGTCAAAAAGTAAATTAACTCTCAGCATTTACCTGCGACAATTGCCCATCTGCACACTGATTTCAAAGCTGTTTCAACATGCAGATTCATAGATTTTAAATTCAGATGGCTCTGTGGTGATCACCTGGTCTGAAGTACTGTGTTATACATGCCTTAGGACTCACTAAAAAAAAAAATCCTTCTTTACACCCCTACATCAGTATTTGAAATACACGATGTATTAAAAAAAATCAATCATATTCCCAGAGGTAGAGAATTTATCATAAGCCCTGTGTGTTGAACTTCAGTAACTATCCTCATTGTTACAATACTTCAATTTTATTTCTGATCTGAATTGCTCTATCTTCAGCTTCCAGCAATTAGTTCCTGTCTGAGGCACTTTGTGTCTGATTTGATTGCCCTGTATTACAAATTTCAGCTTCCCACCTAGATTGTCAAAGACTTCTCTTGCATTCATATTGCATATCATTTGCATGTGATCAGGAGATAGAAAGAAAGATCTATGATGTATATATTAAAAAATATATATATTTCAAGACCAATTAATAACATATCGCAGGATAGATGTATTTTTTTTCAGAATGAACATTAATAGTCCTCTCTCCTAAACTGCACAGGTCAGATTTTGCTTGCTGCTGGCAATTAGTATAGTGATTGCTACTGTGTAGAACAGTCTAACATTCTTTCTCTTGATGGCAAAAATCAGATTGTATTAATTCTTGAGAAAAATGACGTAAGTTAAAAAGGCAAAAAACACAAGTCAAAAACCTTATAAATTTGTCTGACTACTAGATTATATTTCACCATCCATAGCAGAAAATAAATATGTAACTCGGAAAATAACAAGAGACACAAATCTGGCCTCCCAGAGCTATTAGCCATTTAGTTCTGAGCATAACCTCATTTATTTTTGTAACCCTTAATTTGATTTCAAAAGAAATGTATGATAGTGTAGCTAATTTCACCCTTATATCCAAGCTAATTTGCCTTGCCTTTACATGTAACATTATGTAGCTGAAAAAGATCATTTTATTTGGATAGAGTTATGGCAAAACTGCTTATTGTATTCTGCATGTGTACTGGGTGTTTTCCCTGCAACTTAGAACCAACTGATTCCAGGTCCATTTTCCAGGTCCGATCCTATTCCATTCTATGCTGTCTAGCGACAACAACGTTGAAGGGTTTAGGAACTGCATTAAAATACTCCCAGGTGAGAGGAGAAGCACTTTGCAGCCTCTGTCAGAAACCAAAACAGTTACAGAAAATACAAGGCAGAGCAAAACCAAGCCCAGTAGAATTACTCATGTAACCATCTTAATAAAATTGGATCTTCTGAAATTACTTTGGATTCTTTTGGATGAAGTGAGATATGTTCAGGTAAATGTGAATATTATGGAATTTTTTTTTTTCTGGATGATTCCAAAATACTTTTGATAGTGCAATGGTAAAAAGTGAGTAAATTCACTTGTTTGATGCTCAGGGCTAAACAGTGGAAAATACGTAAATTCTATATTGTCCAGGTCAAGAGTTTAGATATACTTTTCTTTTAAATCAGTTTACCTCACCAGTGAAATAAAATCCTTGTTTCTATAAAATAAAGTATCTGTTTAGTATCTATTTTGTGTTTATATTTTTATATATCACAGTCAGACTACAAAGATGCTGAGTAAAGGTGTAAGATATGTGATGTACATGATATAGCTATGTAATTGGATGATGTACATTCTAAAAATTCCAGCCAATGAGAGGAAATCAAATCTTTCCAAGGAGCACATAAGCGACACAAGCATCTTTCCAACACCAGAACATAAATCAAAATATATTTAAGTTCTATGTTAAGTATTATGTTTTTGAGGGAGTTTTCTGTTGCTTCTAGAAAAATCTCTATGTAACACTGAGTTTTAGGTAAAAAGAAGTACCAGAATATAAGAAAAGCATTTTCTGTAGGTTTACACAAACTAAGAACACTCACAAGCAGCAGCAGTAACAAAAATACAGAATATTTACCCTGCATGCTTCCAGAAGCATTTTTAATGCAGACTAAAAGAAGGGTGAAATTCAAAACCAAGTGCCTCACAATTGAACAATAGATTAGCACACCAAGATTGCTTGCAGTGTTTGTGGACATGAATGGGACCAGACAAGGTACACTGAGATCACTTCACGTGACTTCACACAACCACAGCAGTGAGAAAGGATGTCATAGAGTCTATAACCACTATTTATTACCTTATTGAGACCTTTCTTCACAGACACCAGACAGATTAATATCAATGGGAGTTAGGCTTGCAAGTATCCATGGGTGTCCTGGTTAGAACGGCTGGGACCAATTCATCCCTGGATGGGTGTAACCCAAAACTGTGTATTCTATAGCCTCCATGCCATTTCCCAAAAACTGCTGTCAGTAGAGGCCTGCAAGGTGGGAAGATGTTCCTGTACCCTTTTATGGAATTCCCCGCTCTGATATCCTTATATGGAATTCCCCGCTCTGATAAGAGGGACTGAGCATCCACATGCCCTTTTATGGAATTCCCTACTCTGAGGGAGGGACTGAGCACTCCCGCCTGAACTGGAGAGTATATAACTGGGAGTTTCAGAGCCTTGGGGCTCTCTCTCGTGGGACCCAGAGGAAGACAGCAGACCACCGCTGCTCCCAACCAGGCTGAGACCACCACCCTCAACTGGACTGCAATCACCACTTCTGACCAGATTGCAGCAGCTCTCCCACCAGCAGGTTTTATCCCCTCTCCCTTTGCTTTGGACTCGGGGGGTGGGCCAAGGTACACCATTTTTGTTCATACCCCAGGGTGCTGGGTTTGTACATTTGGGTTTTGTGGGTTAAAACCAATTGTCTGTCTGTATAATTGTACTTATTGCATTATTTTAATAAATTGTTATTCTGAGTTATAAATCTCTCTTTTGAATTGAGTTCATTTTGCCTTGCTGGTTAACTTTTAAACCAGCACA